AAAATAGTTTTAATTCTAAAACTGATGATTGTATGATTAATCCCATGGATGGATTCTTGATTAGGTGCTTTTTTCTGTGTATGCATGAACATGAAAACATAGAATCATGAGACTTCAGGCACTGATCACTATGTTTGTCCTGTTATCTTATCAGGTTGGTCTCAAATACAGTGAATCTGTTGTTATAAGGATAACTGGGTGCCCCAATGGTTGTGCTAGGCCTTATATGGCTGAGCTTGGATTTGTAGGTGACGGTCCTAATAGCTACCAGGTATCATGAACTGCAAGCCAATTGTCTACTCCTTTCTAAGTGGAAACTTTTGAGAATGCGTACTCAGATTTTATATTTTCGTGCTGCTATATGTGTGCTCTTGCTTCATTACAGATATGGCTTGGAGGAAGACCCAATCAAACATCATTAGCAAGGACTTTTATGGATAAGGTTAAGATCCACGACCTTGAAAAGGTCTTGGAACCTTTATTTTACCATTGGAAGCGCAAACGACAGTCTAAAGAATCATTTGGAGACTTCACAAACCGCCTGGTGAGTTTGTAAAGGATCTAAGATTTAATTTTGAACTATCAACTGTCCTTTTTGCCTCCATGGGCGGCCAGGAAAAGGCTTGGGTCTTTGAGTAAGATGTACTTGGGAGATTGTGTGTTTGAACTTTTGGGTGAGCTTGATAAGGAAAATCCCTGACGTCTCTTGGGTGCCTTGATACCGGCTCAAAAGACTGTTTTCTGTGAACTCACAGATCTCTTAGTTATTGTCTTATTTTAAATGATAAACTATGGTTATTCGATTAATGCTCAGGGATTTGAGAAGCTCAAAGAGCTGGTTGAAAAATGGGATGGTCCTGTAATTGCACCAGCACGTTACAACCTGAAGCTTTTTGCTGATAAGGACACGTACGAGGCCATGGACGACCTTGCAAAGCTTCAGAATAAGAATGCTCATCAATTAGCAATGGAAGTCATCCGTAACTACGTGGCTGCCCAACAAAATGGGAGGAACGAATGATTTGGGTGAGAGAAGTTTAAATTTTGTCGCCTTAGAAGCTGATGTTGAAAGGGCGAATGAGTGTAATAGTCTCGTTCTCTCTTCAAGCTCGTTACTGTTTTGTAACAGCTGGGATGAACGGATGCTGCTGGATTTGGTATAATTTTGTACCCAAGTTGTTTGTTTGTCAGAATGAGCTTTGTATTTACAGTTTTTTTTGGAGATTTGTATCTTATTTTAAGGTTGCTTTTAATAAAATTCTCCTCTCCAGCTTTTCTTGTGATCTGTTCTGTCTAATTCTGCTAGTTGAGAAGACATTGTTGATATCTAAGTAGTGTTTTTGTTCATGGGTATGTTCGGCGTTTCCAGTAGAAGTGCGTCGGAAATATGTTGTGTTGTTCGTGTTGCGTGGGAGGGGGTGGAGAATGTCTCTTGAAAGTAGGTTGATTTCTGTTCAATATAGTAAAATAGAAAAGGATAGTACAGAAGGGAACAAGAAACTGCTTCACTGAGATTGTTGGAAGAGACTCTGTTTGCAAGTATATCTGATAGATGTTTGATCACACACTCACTAGAAAATGTCAGTTCATTTCAGGTGTGGTGGTCGATCGAGCACAGGCAATGCTTCGATTTGTTCAACACGAGGGAGAGTTCGATAAACTATTTTGGTTACATATTGCAAAGTAATTTTTAAAAAGGTAAAATACAATTTTGGTCATGAGTTTGAAGATTAGGTTTTATTTGATCATAAATTTTAAAAAGTGACAATTTGGTCCTTGAGAAGTAGGAGGAAGGAAGACAAGGAAAGAGAAGAGAGAAATGAGAGAAAATGATACCAAATTAAAAGTAGAGAAGAGAGAAATGAGAGAAAATGACACCAAATTAAAAGTAATATGAAATTAATAAATATTCAACTCATCAATGTCGGAAGTAGGAGGAAGGAAGACAAGGAGGTAGGAGAGAGAAATGAGAGAAAATGACACCAAATTAAAAGTAATATGAAATTAATAAATACTCTTTCATCACCTATATTTGGTGGATTTTCTTCACACAACATCTCAGAAGCCACTCAAGGGAAATTTTCACTTCTCAATGTCACCGTATGATGTGGTAGGTTTTTCTGATGTCTTGTTCTGTTTATCCAATTCTCTTTACTACGTTAAGTTCTTTATATATTACCCCTTTACGAGAGACTAGGAGCGGCCTAAAACCAAGGAATTTTTTAACCCTGGTGTGGTGTATGGGATTAGATTTCACCCACAAACAAACTAAAATTGTGTACTCTCTAGGGTTTCGTAGGGTTTCGTTGGATTGAGAGATACTCTTATCTCCACTCGAAGGTTCAAATTTTCACTCTTGGAACCTCCAATTGGAGGAGCATTGGCAAATTTGCCACTGTCCGGCCTAGTGGAGTCAATGACAAACTCCACTAGGTATCTTTGTCGTGGCGGCACAACCTCGGCCGTAGCCTCATGTCGTTCGACTTGGCCGACAAGCAATTTTAGGAAATTCCAAAGTCGGAATTGGGGACCTTGAGCCGATGCAGTTACCATTCGGTGATTCTTGACGAGTGCCTCTTCGCTGTGGCCTACTAAAACTACGGGAAAATGGAGAGATATGGGTGATGAAAGAGTACGGGGCGAAAGAAAGACATTTTTCTTTTAATAATTATTTTTTAAGTTCTAGATCGGTCTAAAATTAAACCGATCCGATATTGAACCGACCCACATAGTTGGCCATTTAATTTGTACACATACAAGCCGCATCATACTTCTGTTAAATCTAACCAAATTTTTAACGGTAGAGACTAAATTGTGACAAATTTAAAGTACAAGGATTAAATTATTATTTTTAAAAATTCAAGAACTGAATCATTACTTTAATGAAACTTTCAGGACCAAATGTGGCTTTTAATCTCAAAATTATAATAAGAATACTTAGAGAAAACACCTCATTTGTATGTGATTGAATGGTTAAAAAAAAATTGAAGTGTTTTTAATGCTTAAAGTTCAAAATACATTTGAGAAAAAAAACATCATCTTTCACAAGTTCCAAAAATTTTATTTTGAGCCACATCCAAAAGGCTCCCAAGACATGGTCATGGAGGAGATGTTCGAGGAAAAAATTTATTGATGTTTTTACAGTATATCATAAATATTGACCAACTTCTTGAATATTTATATTAATATCAACATATCGATGGCTACGGCTACTTAGACTGTATTCAATAATGAGGATTCATCAGAATTTGTCCCTGTTGATGGTTCTAACGGAAGTTTTGACTTTTCAATTTCAAGTTTGATATTGTGTTGTTAAGATTGTCTACGACTAAAATTTCATAACTAGAGTTTGACATAGTTTCAAAAGAATCGTTACCGATTTTAAAATAGACGTATTTACACAGACTAAATATATAATTTGGTTTATGAGGTACGTATCAAGTACTATTCCTAAACTTACAATTAGGCTAGTGCGTAACCCGATCATATATAGTTCAGTGACAAGATATATAAAAAGTTTAATCCCTATTGCAATTGTTGAATGGGAAATTCCTTTCTTAACAAAATCATGGTTTAGGGGGAGCCTCAGTTAGCAAGTACAAACTTTAACAGAGAACCATTTTCTGAGTGAAAAGACTGACTGATCTCTCTTGGAATGTATTGGCCAAAGTCCCCTTGCCCTAGCTTCAGGCCCTTGTGCTAAGTTTACAGAGACATGGAATCTTGTTGGAAAAAGAGCTGTGTCTTACTGTGGAGTGATGGTATACGAAAAGTACTTTGAAAAGACAGTTCAAAAGTAGATGTGTGTGAAGTGGTGAGTTCAAAAGTAGTGAAAGTTAAGTACATGGAGGATTAATTTTAAAAAAAAAAAGTACATGGACGATTAAGCTTCGTCTGAAGCTCGGATTCTCTTTGTTGTTTTCGGATTTGATTCAGCCAACACGCATTTGATAGGATTTGGGAGATTAGTTTTTCAAAATTATTTTTGGATTCTGCAATCCAAACGATACAAATTATGAAAACGACTTTTTTTTATGTTTCGAGTGTTTTCGGATTTAGAATTCGAAATATTTAAGTTATAGAATTATATCAAAAAATGGTAAAAACTTTAATAAATATATTATTTCATATTATAAATTTATTTTATGTTCGTTAAAATTGAAACATAAAATATAATGTATTCTAAATTATTTAACGTTGTAAAATAGTAATTATACGAAATTCATAAAAAATATCATAAATTAATTGATATAACTTTAGATTAAATTAAATATTTAATTTGTAAGAGATTCAATTACTAAATCTACTACCAAACACATATTTAAAAATACTACAAACAAAGGATACAACCTTGGGTTTCATTGAATCTCTTTTTATGATTACCAACCAAACACACCCTAATATTTTTTTTAATCCCTTTCAGATAATAGCTGAAGGGTCATTTGGTTTATACCTACGGGTCGGACTCGGGATTGTGTACAACATAGGAGTTCCGTCCTTTTTGTTTTTCTCACGCATGTGGGACTCCAATATTAATTTGATTTTCAAAGTTGAACACATGAACTTATACCGAAGAGAATATAACGTCGTATGATTTAGGTTTAAGATATATTTGCAATGAAAATCACTACTCAAGCCAAAAGTGTTAAATTAATATGATCGTGAGTAGGAGTATAATTTGACTTGGTTATTAGAAATACCTAGCCAAATTATCGAAAGTGCTAATTCAACTTCTTATATGTCTATCCTAAATCATATTTGAGGACATAAAAAATTTTTATTTCCAGCTCTCCTCTCTCCATACAAATCCACAGAATAACATAAAAATTACCCAAATGGCAAATACAGCTACTTATTTCCTATATTCCTATATGATATTAATAACATCCTTCAAAACGATTTAAAAAAACAAAATAAAATAAAAGACCATTTCTCATTACAAGTAAATAAGATTCAACCATTAGTTAATTATTTGAACACAATTTGTTCCAAAAACCAAGTTTTTAGTCTTTCTTTTCAGCAGCTGATATGAGTAGTTTATTTTGTTGGATTGTTGAATCAGAAAACATTTGCAGAGAGTATTTTGCTCAATTGCCTAAATGTCATGCTAATGGAAGAATCAAAATGATATTATTCTCTAATATACTTAGAGAGGGAGAGGTGGGTGAACAAAAGTGCATATAAAGTAACATCACGAAACTTGTACGTTTTGATGTGGGGAGTATAGCTTTAAGCTTTCCATCTCAACAAAAGTAGTAGACGGTCTTAATTAACGATTGAGCTATATTTAGGTTATTATACAACCACTGAACCTTCTTTTTCATGATCCGATCCACACCTAAGATCTAAGATTGAGCACCAACTCACAGACTGCCTCCTCAACCCTGGTGAGTACGAGAGCTTGGTAAGACATAATCTCGAATGTGGAATACATTCGCTAACGACAACATTTTCACAACTACCAAACTACATAAAACCCAGTAGAGATCTTCGACCCTCCACCTACGCAATGACATATTCTTTCGATCCAAAAAAAAGATAAAAATACATTAACCTAAAGACATTCTACTCGGATTTTCCAAAACACAACTGTTGTGGTTCAAACTAAGCTCACACATAATATTACAATTAATTACCCAATAATACTTACTTTTATTCATTCAAGCACCAGTCGAGCTATTCCATTTTCAACAGAAACCAGTTTTAGACTCTTTCTTTTCTGCAGCTGAGGAGGCCAATTGGGTGGCAACTGAACTTGCTCCCAATTTGTGACCTTCTGAACAACATCATTCGACTCACGAATCTGTGTCTGAAAAAACACAGTTTTCCCGACAGGACTCTCAATCAATGCCTCTGGTCCAAAGCTGCTAGAACTCAACTTGTAACATGTTCTACAGCTCAAAACAATTGGCTGAGACCCTTCTGGGAGCTGCTCAAACCCATTGATCAAAACATGGATACTAAAAACATTAGTCAGTGAATCATCAGACAGAGACAAATTTATGTTTGGAAAAACATTGAAGTAAAATGGGCCATCCCCCAAATTTGATTCCACCAAGGCCACAACACGATCTGGGACTCTCTCTACTCTGTTGTCACGAAGGCACAGAATTATGGAGGCGTTTGAAGGGATTTTTCTGGTTGTGGTTTTGACTCCCAATTGAACTGAGCCTATGTTCATAATGTTGTAGTATTTTCCTTTGCCACGATAGGAAAAAGGGGCTTTATCAAACAATTTGAAGGCTCCTCCACCATTTCCGAAGCTGATTTTGCTCTCTGAGGTTC